GTCCACGCGGAGGAAGGCCTGCGCGGTGCGCTCCTTGGTCGCCTCGTTCTGCAGCGCCCACACGCCGTCCTTCTGCCCGAACGTCTCCCCAGCCGACATGCGCACGTGCGGGAGGATCCGGACCTCGAACCCGGACATACTAAACAGCAGGTTCGGGTTGTCCTTGGAATACACCGACACAAAGCTCTCCTCCCACTCCAGCGTGGTCAAGCTCCGCGGCAGCCGGTTCTTCACCTCCCAGAAGGTCGCCCGCCCGAGATTCACGTCGTGCTTCATGAGGCGCATGCGCGCGTCTCTCGGCCAGCACTTCTTGTTGTTGTACCCCACCATGTTCTCGTTGTTCGGGTCGGGGTGCTCCGTGAGGTACCGCTGGATGAGGTCCCGCGCCTCCTCGTGCGTGAACACGAACAGCATGTGGAACCGGTCAATGTAGCGCGAGTACAGCCGGATCGGGTGCCGCGTCTCCGTCTTCACCTCCCGGAAGGTCAGGAACTCGTTCGGGAGCTGCGGTGGGCCGGCGACTTCACTCGCGCGGGTGAGACCGAGCAGCAGGAGGTCGAGCACGAGGCCATAGTACTGGGTGATGAAGGAGGCGAATTGCAGCCCGCGGACCAGCCCGTACGTGTTGGTATGGGACATGTCTTTGAAGGACAACACCACGTTGTTCTTGGCGGTCATGTAATCCGCCAGGTTGTGATCGCAGATGAGCCGCAGCAGCCGGTTCAGGAGCGTCAGATCCACCTTCTCGAACAGCTTCTCGAACCGCGACTGCAGCAGCACCACGCACTGCCCGTCCTCCGTCTCCCACACGTCGTGTAGGTTGTTGATTCCCTGGCACCACTTGTACACCAGCAGCGGCGGCGGCTCCGTATCCGCCGGCTTCACCCAGTTGGGAAACAGCCGCCTCTTATCCGCCTCGTACCACAGATAGTTATCCAGGTACGCGTCTGTGATCTTCTCCAGAGGCTCAATGTCATACACAGGGACCAGGTGTGTGTAGAGGTCGAAGAACGCGATGCCCACCTCCTTGAAGGCGCGCTGGGTGAGCAGGTGGCGCTTGATGCGGGAGAGAGCTTCATGCGGGTTGTCGTACGCCTGCTCGATCAGCCCCAGCTCTTCGCGCTGCTGCTGGTTCAGCCGCACGCTCGCGCTGTACGGCTCCTTCAGCCGCTCCAGCGCGAGAATCAGCAGCTTAGTGTCGTGCTTGTAGGAGAGAGGAGGGAACGGGATGGGCTGGAACTTGCGCGACTCGAGCCAGTGCACCGTGGTGGTGTAGATCGCCACAGCCTCTTCCGGAGAGAGGTACGGGCCGTCCTTGAGGTAGTTGTGCTGCCGCTCCTGCTCCGCCTTGAGCCACAGCCGAGTCAGCCGCCCCAGGTTCTTCCTCGAAACCGTCTTGTCCACCGTCGCCCCGCGCCGGATCCGCTCCCGGTTGTAATGCGCCACGTTGGTCCACCAGTCCGCCTTCATCTTCACATACCGCAGGATCATGCTCTCGATGGGCGCGGGCAGCCCAGGCACCTTCCAGGGGATGTTGGCCTTCCAGCACCGCCACGCCTCCGACAGGTGCTGCAGAATGGTGCGCGACTTGTTCTGCTTCACGCCCTCGGGCATCATGTCCAGAATGTCGTGCATGACGGCTGCCCTCAGCTCCAGGTCGTAGTGGCTCTCCACGCGCTGCTTCGTGAGAGTCTTCGCCACGCCCTTGCTCGCCCGCCCCTCGAACTGCCTCGCGAGCAGGTTCCCCAGCCACCGCTCCAGCAGGGGAACAATCCCGCGGAGGAAGAACAGCCACACGCGCCACACTGGCGCCCAGAACCCGCACCCCGGCCCCTTCCCCACCGGCCCCGTGTTGAAGCGGTAGTAGATGAGGTGCTTCAGGTCTTTGCACATGCGCACCTGCCGCATGAGCCGGTACTTGTACCGGTACATGCCGGTCAGCTGCCCCACGTGGGAGAAGATGTACTGTAACCCGTCCGCGAGTTGAAACGCGTCCACGTTCCCCAGCCGGTACTGCACGTGGGCATCTACCACCAGCTTCGTCAGCCGCAGAATCTCCCGACATAAATGGAAAGCGTTGCCAAATCGGGACTTTTTCCGCTCTTTGGTGGTGAGAGTCTTCACAGGCTTGAGATTGAAGTTATAGTCCAGATGCAGGTAGTGCAGGCTCTTGCGGTGAATCAGCAAGTTGAGCATGTTGTGGCCCTGCCGGCACACCTGCAAACCGGCCTCCACCCAGTCCAACTCCGTGGATTGAAAGAACTTGGTCTGCTTCAGCGCACGGAACAGATCCCTCTTCTTGTGCGATTTGGGCGGCCGCTTGTGCAGCTCGTTCAGCACCCACAGCTTCAGCAGCTTCTGGTAGCTCACACGCACTTTCACCGGGTGGTTCGGAGGGCAGTGCTCCTTGAACCACCCCGCCACCAGCGGGATATCCTCTGCTCTCCTGGTCCGCCCCGACCGCCGGTTGAAAGGATACGGCGCCCAGAGCAGCGCGATGCCGGCTGCGGTAGCGTCAGTGTAGAGAGGCGTGGAGGAGAGGAGCGGCTCGACGCCCTCAGGGAGGGCCCATTCCTCCTCCTCGAGCTCCTCTTCCAGGGCTGCGCGCGAGGCTCGGGACTCGGATCGGTAGTGCGGGATGGGGTGGATGAGTGGGTCGTAGTAGAAAGCGGGAAGGTCCGGATCCTCCGACTTGATGTACATCACCTGTGGGAGGGGGAAGGGGGGAGTGGGGGGGGAAGGGGGGGGGAGAGGAAGGGGGGGAAGGGGCGGGTGGGGGGAAGGAAAGACATGGGTAGGGAAGAGGAAAGGGGAGGGGGTGTGAAAAAGGGGGAGAGAGGAGGGGTGGGGGGAAGGGGGTGCGGGAGAGGGAAGGGGGGAGAGAGGAAAGGCGGGGGGAGGAAAAAGGGGGTGGGAAAGGAAGGGTGGGAGGGGAGAGGAAGGGGAATGGAGGCGGAACGAGGGGGGAGAACGGGGGGCGGGTGCAGGGAAGAAAACACAAGGGTATGTATAGACGGGCAGTTTAGAGAAGACAACCAGGAAAGGGGTTTGAAAGTGAAAACGGGAGGTGTGGGAAGGGAAAGGCCACATTATAGACAAGAGAGCAACGACAGCAGCAGAAGCAGCAGCAGCAGCAGCGCAGGCTGGAACAGGCTCTCATTCATCCGCTTCTCTCTCGCACCCAGCCCATCCCGCTCTGCCGCCTCACATCCGCACCCACCACCCTCACCCAGCCCATCCCGCTCTGCCACCTCACACCAGCACCCACCACCCTCCCCACCCTCCCCCATCACATGTCCCTCTCAAACCCAACCCCAGCCACAACCCCAGCCACAACCCCAGCCCCAGCCCCAACCCCAGCCCCAGCCCCAACCCCAGTCCCAGGCTCTCAACGGCAGCCTCACCTGCGGCGTGTGGTAGGCCTGCACGGCGACCTTGCGCGGGCGGCTGTTGTACAGCCAGGGGAACGCGATGCGGTACTCGGTGCGGATGGGCGTGCGGATGATCAGCTTCCCGATGTCGTTGAACTCGTTCCAGTCCTCCTCCGCCTCGGGCTTCTCGCGGAACAGCGGCTCGAACTTTGGCCCGCCCGGAATGCACATGTTGAGCGCCTTAGCCGTGAAGAATGATTTCAGGTCGAAGAGGTAGAAGTAGTTCTCGTCGATCAGATCCGATAGAAGCTGACCCGCTAGGCGGAACAGAGTTGCTTGGATCGGGACGCTCAGCTCCCACTTGCGGTAGCTCGGCCCGTTGACCAATCGCGTGTTGACAAGCGGCTTGGAGTCGTAGAACCAATCGTAGACCGCCGAGTCCTCCTCCTCGTCGAGCTCCAATTGGACGGCATCCAGAGGGTCCACGTGGAGCACGTTCTCGGCGTAATCCAACGGCGGCTCTTCGTCGTCGAAGGGCGGGAAGCGCATGCGCTTGAAGTGGCGGCGATCGCGCTTCTCGCGGCGCATCATGATCCACATGGTTCCCCACTGCGCCATGTACACGGACGGAATCACCAGCGGCGTCTCGTTCACGAACGTGATGGCGCCCGTTATGTGGTACAGCACCTTCACGTGCCGCACCTGATGGGCGGACGGGATGAGAGGGAAAAAGAGAGGAGATAGAAGCAGAGGATATTAGCGGGATGGCACAGCAAACGGAAAGATAACAGGCATTCGTGAGACGGCAGTGACCAGATCAATGGATGAAATCGATCAGAGGGAAAACGACGGAATACTGGGCTATGGAGGAATAAAAAGAAGTCAGGAGGCGATAAAACTACAGGAACAATTCAAAATTGATGAAAAAAAAACAATTTGTAAATGGAATCGACAAATCCTGGAAAATAGTGCATGACTTAGCCAAAGCAGAACACTAAGAACTAATTACAGAAATTATAACGGATGAGAGGAGCAAAGAAAGAATGAGAAAAAGCAAGCCCACCTGCTCCCACGGCATCGGCATGTTTTCCAGAAGCTTCAGCACCGCATGCGGCACGAACTTCAGCGCGCCGAGGTACACGCGCTTATCGCGGCGGAACTTGCGCGAGCTCATGTCGCCATGATCGCGCACGATCTTGCGCACGTGCTCCGGCGGCATGTCCTCCTTCTGATGCTCCACGTACCCGAACCGCCGCTTCTCCGCATACCGCTTCTGGTTGAGCTGCTGCCACTTCCTCGCCTTCTCCTCCAACGCGGCTTCGGAATTCGGAGGTAAGGCGTGCTGCTGCTGCTGGCTGCTGCTTCCCGGACCGGAATAAGGGTAGCGGCCCGCCATGGCTCCGTGAAATGAAAACGACGGTAGTTCTGGAAAGACGACGACCTACAAAAGTCAAACTAAACGGATGACGGCTTAAAGAGAAGAGATCAAGTCTCGGAAAACCACATAACCCCGATTTAGATCGCAGATCTGGTAAACGAAAAGGCCGAGCCTAAAACTAGGCCGTGAAACAATCTTATCGCAATGTCCCTTATCCTGCGTCTAGGCGACAACCTGATCCGGATGGCGCCATGTTCACGCAAGGTAAGGAGATGACACGCTGGCGAGAGCAGCAAGAAACCCTACCAGCAGCAATTAGGGCAGAGCAACCTAGAGAATATCGTGTTGCAAGACAGTAAGTCTGATGATTGGCCTGGATCTCTGCTTGTTTCCTCAGACCGCACGATAACGTGCTTTATCCCTTTGCACCATGCTTGAATCCTCAGTGGTTACACTTTGCATGCAGACTGCGGAAACAGCAGCCTGATTCTCTCCAAAGAGCTGCGTTACACGCAAGAATCCAATGCGAAATTCTTACGCCTCCAGAACTATAACTGTAAACTGAAGTTCTGCAGAAAACATCAGCAACGAGAGCAGTGATGTTGGGTCACACTCGCTATACGGTACAGCTGTGGCTGACCACGTCAGCTAACCCCCCCAACCCCCAACTCACCGCAAGCAAGCAGCACTTGCCCTCCCGCAGCTGTAACCTTTTCCGCCAAGCTGGGAAAATCTGCCCTCGCTGAGCGCGCAAGCCCACTTCCCCTTCCACCCTTCCCCCCCCCCCCCCGCCCCCCCACCACAGTGCATCTCCCCGTTCTCCCCCTCCCTTCCCTCATGTTTCTCCCTTTCTCATCTTACGTGCGCCCTCCCTCAAAGACCCAATAGCAGCATAATTGTGATCCTTTCGCCCTCCTTTCTGCCTTAACCCACCGCTCCTACTCCTCCCTTAGTCACACGTGCACTACTCCACCCGAACAGCCACAATGAAGGTTGTCGCGGCTTACCTCCTCGCGCTTCTCGGAGGCAACGCGAGCCCCGCCGCTGCCGATATCAAGGGCATTCTCTCATCAGGCATGTGCTCGCTAACCCTCCTGGCATCGCGGTGCGCTTTAGGGTTTAGAGCTGGCACGATTTGCATGGAATTATTCGATACACGAGAGGCCTGAAGTTTATGAGGAATAATCCGGCGGGAGTTTTAATAATCGGATCCTTAGTTTTCGAAAATTTCGAGCCCTCAAGCTCTCAAGATGTCCATAACCCTAACTCGTCCGCCTCCTTCTCCCTTCCCGCCACACCCCCCTTCCCCCACTTCCGTCGTGGCTCCGCCAATTTTCTTGTTCCCGTGATCCCGCAGTTGGCGCTGAGGCCGATGATGACAGGATAGATCTGCTGCTGAAGCAGCTCGAGGGCAAGGACATTAACGAGGTCATCGCGGCCGGCCGAGAGAAGTTCGCCGCGGTGCCCAGCGGTGGCGGCGTTGCCGTTGCCGCTTCAGGCGGTGGCGGTGCCGCTGCTGCTGCCCCCGCTGAGGAGAAGAAGGAGGAGAAGAAGGAAGAGGAGAAGGAAGAGTCTGACGACGTACGTAACATTCGTTTCATCTCCAATGCTGTTTTGTTTGCTTAATCTTCTCCACGTTGTCCCCCCGCCCCTCCCGTTTCTCTATTTTCCATATGCTGGATGCTGTTGTCTCTTTCCCTTCAAGCCCCGTGCTTTTCTCCTTCCGAAGCGCGTAGTCGTAGCTATCTCCAAGAAGCGTGGCCGATTTATTTAGAGCGAGACAGCGACGTGCACAGCTTGTCTCCGGGAAATTATAATCAGGAATGGGTTTAGTTGCACCTCAAGACCGACTGAAGGCTGTCTGCGTAGCCCTAGCAGAACCACAACGTTGCTTCTCGCTCGGCAGACAGGGGGCTTTTTTACGAGAGTTGGAAGCTGGTAGTATATGGATCCGAGCAGCCTTACAGTGGAGCGGGGAGCAGTTGATGGTTCTTTACTTCGAGTAGATGACATTACTGATCGTTTACCTTTCGCGCAGGCTTTTAGCAGTGAGCAATTAGCTCCCTAGCAACCCGTGGGTGGTTCTTATACCAATTTTGATTCCATATGCCTTGCCCCTCTTTTACGATGTGCAGGATATGGGTTTCAGCCTGTTCGACTAAGCAAGGTCTCCACTCGATTTGCTCTGCACATAGTCCATCCGTTTAGGGTTCTCCATGCCTGAGTCCCTTGTCCGATGTCACTGATGGAATGAGCATTATTTGTGCAACGTCCAGGAATGTATAGCACTTCATCTCCCACTGTTGAAAGTGCTTGGGTGAGAGCGGGGGAATGTTGAGCATTTGGGCGAATATTTAAGTCGAATAAAGAATAATCAAACTTCTGAATCAGCTACAGTAAATGTCTCTAGAGACTGGGTGAGGGTACTCTGCTACCTGATTAACTTGTCTGCCATGGCAAATGGTGTCTACTGACTCGCAGCAGCATCTCAAACAGTCAGCCGCTTAGCTTGGAAAGAATGCATCACCTTCATCCTCAAATCCCTCTCCAGATTTGCTTTCCGCTGCTCATCTGCAGTGATTGTCTTGTGATGCTCCTGAGATTCGATCACAGCCTTGCCTGCTGCAGCCAGCTTCGGCATGGAACCCCAGTCAGGATCTTCAGGCTGTGAAATGTCAGCAGGACCATCCAGGAGCACAGTGTCAAGCCACCTTCTGTCTCTCTCCTCAAACTCCTGGGAACAGATTTGAATCTCTGCATCTTGCTTCATTGCTTCAGGTTCAATCATTGGGAGGGACTCCCAGTCATCTGGATGATCTCCACCCCTCTCCGCCTTCTTGCTCGTCTCCCTGGCAGCCTGCTTTTCTGCCTTACGTTGCCGCTTCTCCTCCCTCCTCTTCCGCCTCTCCTCCTTCCGTGCCCTCTTCTCTTCCTTGTGGCGCCGCCTTTCCTTCTTCCTTGCCTTCCTCTCGTCCCTCGTCTCCATGCCCTCCCACTCTCCTGCAGAGCCTGCTGAATCCGTCACGCCCTTCTTCACACAGGACTCATCTTCAGACGAAATGTCCATGTCTTCAACCTGGTGACTGGAGTCTTGCTGGTCGGGGCTTCCGTAGAACTTGTCCTGTCCATGAGAAGCATCTTCTAATCCACAAGCTCTTGCAGCCAAGGCTTTAGAAGAGGCTTGCGCAGAACTGCAGCCAGCTTGAGATATAGCACCAACAAACCTTCCACCATCAACATCAACTTGTGAAGTTGCACCTCCAAAATCCTGCGAAGATCCAGCAGGATGTGCAGCAGCAGCACACTGATAGCTTTCAACCTGAGCAGTGACAGGAGTAGCTACAGCAGTGGTCTCAGTGCTCTGAGGCTGTCCTGCGTGCTTAGCTTCGTCGCATGGCCCTTCAAAACCCAGGCGCGCCTCAGGCTGGCTCTTCCGGCTGAATTGAGGAGAGGAATGCCTCTTGAAACTCCTGGAAGCAAAGACGAGAGAACATCAGCAAGAAATCCAGCCTGAATTGAGACATACGGTAATGCATTGAACAGGTCGCTTCTTACCTTGGTTGGATCTGAGAACGCCATTCTCGACGACATTCAAATCCCGGGGGTGGTGATTGGGGCTGTTGCGTATCTTGTATGTCGTGGAACTCAGCGTTGATTCTTTTCTCGAATCCAGGAGGGTAAGTCATTAGTCGTTCAATGTTGACGTTCAGTTCAACCAGTGAATCCGTCCCATTCCGCGAGCAGTTGAATCCAGGTGGGTATGATGTCATGCTGGCAGAATTACGCTGGTTAGAGTTGTTGCTTCGGAAGGACCTTCCAGTCCCCTCCCTCCTGTATGCTTTTCCTGACGACCATGATTGTCGCGGGTTGCAGTTATTATGTTGTAAGTTGCGACGCCATTGAGGCTGTTGCTGAAATTCAGAGGATCGACCAAAGCGACGGGTATCATTGGGTGGAAATCGATCGCTGTGACGGTTTCCATGATGGTTCGAGAACCTTCCACGCTTGTGCGCATTGAAATCCCGTCGTTCAACTGCACTGAGAGAGCGCTTACTGAAAAAATAAAATACACAGTAGAGTGTCAGCAAAATTGGCCACTGTGCGGGAAGATTGTGATGAATGATGAATCCTAAAAACATACCTTCTCCAGCTTTCGTCGTGTGCGTGAAAATTATTTCTTCGGTTGCATCTCTGTAAGTCTGCATCTCCGTCGATCGTCGGAACCTCGTGGTCTTCTTTAGGCCCGTGTTCCTTTTGAGCATCCTCAAGGATATCTGACGAAAGCCTTGCAGCAGCTTCCAACGCCTTTTTTCTCGCATCTCCTACCTCAGTAGGCTGAATGGAAAGACAGACGAAAACGTAAGTTGCATTAATATACACAGATTAAGTTCGAGCAAAGCAACACCACAGTCTTACAATTAATCCATTCTCCTCGGCGAATTCGTCCAGAAGTTTCTGCGGAATCCCGTGCTCATTGCGATGCGCGTTACGGAGTATTCTCCACAATTCCTTCATAAAAGTAGTCGTGTGATTCTCCAGGAACCCTGTCAGCTGTATCTGCATGCGTTTGGGATCCACCTGCCATAATGAAACATCATGTTTAGGGTAAGGTGTGTTTCACTGAACAAAGCACGGCCCGATCGCATTTCATAATCTGTAATAGAGCACATACCAAAATATTAGGAACGAATATCGTAGAGAAAAGCTTCCCGCGCAAATAAAGCTCACCTCGTCTTGGAGTAGACTAAAAATGAAATTGATTAGAACCTCATCTTCAACTCCAAGGAGCTCAGTCACTCTTCTAGCAATCCACGGGTAAATTACTTCCTTTTTCACCTTCTTCATATCAACCTGCAAGAAACGATCCATCAGGTGACAAACAAGCCCATACTACGTCGTATTGCAGGAGTAAAGGATATGGCTTACAGGTTTATCAAATATTTTTGCGAATCGCTGTGTCTTCAGGAGCTTCGTGTCTTTGTCCGAAAATCTAACATCCTGATCAGCGCTAGGCCCTCGCCACAGACCCTCAGCCATGATGCTGCTTACACCAGATTGTACGACGAACTCTACTGATCAAAGACACCACACGGGCGGTGCAGTGCTTTGGTTTCTGTTGACAGTCTCGTGCACCATGGATGCGGTTGATAGTGATGGTGGCTTGGCTCTGCTGCGGCAATCCGAACTTCATAAAAAAGTCGGAGATTATCCAATTTTTTCTCGAGGTCTCCGTGTCGCGCATTGATCATGGCTTCGTCGACATGTTCGAGGGGAGCACCTCTGAAACGGGATGTTCATCTGAAGCATCACAATTGACAGTACACTCATGGTACACTGTCTATTCCATCCATGACAGCAATATCTCTGAAATATGCACAGCCAGCAGCAGCAAGGCTGGTGGAGAGTAAAAAAATTGGTTATCTTCCTTGCAGACATTTCATTACCACAAGATGAGTTTCAAAGCAATAGACATTTTAGCTACACACTTACCGCGTCACTACCAAAGGCACTCAGAAAGTCAAATGAGTTTCCGTCCATCCGCGTATGAACCATACAATGTGTCGCTCACCTGGTGATCATATGTCCTACACTAACTCAGGGAATACCCACACCACACCCAATCAGTGAGGTTCACATCACACTCAGCTCACTCACATAGCAACTGCATCTCACTAAGGCGTTGACGTTGACCAGAAATGCATAGGTCTGCCGATTCCCACTTGGATCTGAACAAAAAAGTCTGCAGCACCACCCCACATGTTGGTCTGTCCAAATGAGTAGCGTAGTGCTCAGTAGTAAGGGTGGTGTAGACTCTGAGCGGTTCATCTCTTAACGGAAATCTTCAGTTGAGCATTCGCGAAAGATCAGCGGTTGAGCTGGCGTGACGTGTCCTCAGGTACGGACCGAGCCTCGAGGTATGGTCCGAGACAAGCTCCAAACGAAAGGGTGTCAGACCTGATGAAGCAATCAGACTCCGTTACAAAATCGGACGGCGAAAAAAGGCCCACCAAACTGCACATCTGGCTGGAAATTTGAAATCCCAGGGGTGAGGGGTGGACGTTGCCACGTCATGAAATCCCTCATGCTCTGATTCATCATTCACCCCTAGTCTGAAATCCTGGTTCTCAAAGCAGAGTGATCACGGTAACCATGAGCCAATCACAGCAGAGTTACAGCAAGTCCTCAGCCTAGACGCTGAGGTCTACACTGAGGTCTAGGCTGAGGTCTAGGCTGAGGTCTAAGCTGAGTGAGCTGAAACCCCTCGGGTGGGTGAGTTAGAGAGAAGGGGGTCGGAACCCCCAGAGTTATTGAATCTAAGAGAAGGGGGTTGGAACCCCTTGGGTGGGTGATTGAGAGGGTAGAAGTCTTGAGGCCCTTGAATGAGTGTTTGGAAGAGATGGGGGCTGAAACCCTTAGGGCAGGTGAGTGGAAGTGAAAGGGACTGATTTTTTTGCATGGGTAAGTGAGAGGGAAGGGATCTGAAGCCCCTTTGGGCGGTGAGTTCGTGCAGGGGCAGATGTGAAGGGGCAGAGAGGAAAGTGAAGGGGCAGAGAGGAAAGTGAAGGGGCAGAGAGGGATGTGAAGGGGCAGAGAGGGATGTGAAAGGACGAAGAGAGATGTGAATGGGCAGAGAGGGATGTGAAGGGGCAGAGAGGGATGTGAAAGGGCAGAGAGGGGTGTGAAGGGGCAGAGAAGGAGCAGAGAAGGATGTGAAGGGCAGAGAAGGATGTGTTAGGGCAGAGAGGGATGTGAAGGGGTAGAGAGGGATGTGAAGGGGCAGAGAGGGATGTGAACGGGCAGAGAGGGATGTGTAGGGGTCGAGAGGAACGAGCATCACTGATGGAATGAGCATTATTTGTGCAACGTCCAGGAATGTATAGCACTTCATCTCCCACTGTTGAAAGTGCTTGGGTGAGAGCGGGGGAATGTTGAGCATTTGGGCGAATATTTAAGTCGAATAAAGAATAATCAAACTTCTGAATCAGCTACAGTAAATGTCAGCAGAGACTTGGTTACGGTACTCTGCTACCTGATTAACTTGTCTGCCATGGCAAATGGTGTCTACTGACTCGCAGCAGCATCTCAAACAGTCAGCCGCTTAGCTTGGAAAGAATGCATCACCTTCATCCTCAAATCCCTCTCCAGATTTGCTTTCCGCTGCTCATCTGCAGTGATTGTCTTGTGATGCTCCTGAGATTCGATCACAGCCTTGCCTGCTGCAGCCAGCTTCGGCATGGAACCCCAGTCAGGATCTTCAGGCTGTGAAATGTCAGCAGGACCATCCAGGAGCACAGTGTCAAGCCACCTTCTGTCTCTCTCCTCAAACTCCTGGGAACAGATTTGAATCTCTGCATCTTGCTTCATTGCTTCAGGTTCAATCATTGGGAGGGACTCCCAGTCATCTGGATGATCTCCACCCCTCTCCGCCTTCTTGCTCGTCTCCCTGGCAGCCTGCTTTTCTGCCTTACGTTGCCGCTTCTCCTCCCTCCTCTTCCGCCTCTCCTCCTTCCGTGCCCTCTTCTCTTCCTTGTGGCGCCGCCTTTCCTTCTTCCTTGCCTTCCTCTCGTCCCTCGTCTCCATGCCCTCCCACTCTCCTGCAGAGCCTGCTGAATCCGTCACGCCCTTCTTCACACAGGACTCATCTTCAGACGAAATGTCCATGTCTTCAACCTGGTGACTGGAGTCTTGCTGGTCGGGGCTTCCGTAGAACTTGTCCTGTCCATGAGAAGCATCTTCTAATCCACAAGCTCTTGCAGCCAAGGCTTTAGAAGAGGCTTGCGCAGAACTGCAGCCAGCTTGAGATATAGCACCAACAAACCTTCCACCATCAACATCAACTTGTGAAGTTGCACCTCCAAAATCCTGCGAAGATCCAGCAGGATGTGCAGCAGCAGCACACTGATAGCTTTCAACCTGAGCAGTGACAGGAGTAGCTACAGCAGTGGTCTCAGTGCTCTGAGGCTGTCCTGCGTGCTTAGCTTCGTCGCATGGCCCTTCAAAACCCAGGCGCGCCTCAGGCTGGCTCTTCCGGCTGAATTGAGGAGAGGAATGCCTCTTGAAACTCCTGGAAGCAAAGACGAGAGAACATCAGCAAGAAATCCAGCCTGAATTGAGACATACGGTAATGCATTGAACAGGTCGCTTCTTACCTTGGTTGGATCTGAGAACGCCATTCTCGACGACATTCAAATCCCGGGGGTGGTGATTGGGGCTGTTGCGTATCTTGTATGTCGTGGAACTCAGCGTTGATTCTTTTCTCGAATCCAGGAGGGTAAGTCATTAGTCGTTCAATGTTGACGTTCAGTTCAACCAGTGAATCCGTCCCATTCCGCGAGCAGTTGAATCCAGGTGGGTATGATGTCATGCTGGCAGAATTACGCTGGTTAGAGTTGTTGCTTCGGAAGGACCTTCCAGTCCCCTCCCTCCTGTATGCTTTTCCTGACGACCATGATTGTCGCGGGTTGCAGTTATTATGTTGTAAGTTGCGACGCCATTGAGGCTGTTGCTGAAATTCAGAGGATCGACCAAAGCGACGGGTATCATTGGGTGGAAATCGATCGCTGTGACGGTTTCCATGATGGTTCGAGAACCTTCCACGCTTGTGCGCATTGAAATCCCGTCGTTCAACTGCACTGAGAGAGCGCTTACTGAAAAAATAAAATACACAGTAGAGTGTCAGCAAAATTGGCCACTGTGCGGGAAGATTGTGATGAATGATGAATCCTAAAAACATACCTTCTCCAGCTTTCGTCGTGTGCGTGAAAATTATTTCTTCGGTTGCATCTCTGTAAGTCTGCATCTCCGTCGATCGTCGGAACCTCGTGGTCTTCTTTAGGCCCGTGTTCCTTTTGAGCATCCTCAAGGATATCTGACGAAAGCCTTGCAGCAGCTTCCAACGCCTTTTTTCTCGCATCTCCTACCTCAGTAGGCTGAATGGAAAGACAGACGAAAACGTAAGTTGCATTAATATACACAGATTAAGTTCGAGCAAAGCAACACCACAGTCTTACAATTAATCCATTCTCCTCGGCGAATTCGTCCAGAAGTTTCTGCGGAATCCCGTGCTCATTGCGATGCGCGTTACGGAGTATTCTCCACAATTCCTTCATAAAAGTAGTCGTGTGATTCTCCAGGAACCCTGTCAGCTGTATCTGCATGCGTTTGGGATCCACCTGCCATAATGAAACATCATGTTTAGGGTAAGGTGTGTTTCACTGAACAAAGCACGGCCCGATCGCATTTCATAATCTGTAATAGAGCACATACCAAAATATTAGGAACGAATATCGTAGAGAAAAGCTTCCCGCGCAAATAAAGCTCACCTCGTCTTGGAGTAGACTAAAAATGAAATTGATTAGAACCTCATCTTCAACTCCAAGGAGCTCAGTCACTCTTCTAGCAATCCACGGGTAAATTACTTCCTTTTTCACCTTCTTCATATCAACCTGCAAGAAACGATCCATCAGGTGACAAACAAGCCCATACTACGTCGTATTGCAGGAGTAAAGGATATGGCTTACAGGTTTATCAAATATTTTTGCGAATCGCTGTGTCTTCAGGAGCTTCGTGTCTTTGTCCGAAAATCTAACATCCTGATCAGCGCTAGGCCCTCGCCACAGACCCTCAGCCATGATGCTGCTTACACCAGATTGTACGACGAACTCTACTGATCAAAGACACCACACGGGCGGTGCAGTGCTTTGGTTTCTGTTGACAGTCTCGTGCACCATGGATGCGGTTGATAGTGATGGTGGCTTGGCTCTGCTGCGGCAATCCGAACTTCATAAAAAAGTCGGAGATTATCCAATTTTTTCTCGAGGTCTCCGTGTCGCGCATTGATCATGGCTTCGTCGACATGTTCGAGGGGAGCACCTCTGAAACGGGATGTTCATCTGAAGCATCACAATTGACAGTACACTCATGGTACACTGTCTATTCCATCCATGACAGCAATATCTCTGAAATATGCACAGCCAGCAGCAGCAAGGCTGGTGGAGAGTAAAAAAATTGGTTATCTTCCTTGCAGACATTTCATTACCACAAGATGAGTTTCAAAGCAATAGACATTTTAGCTACACACTTACCGCGTCACTACCAAAGGCACTCAGAAAGTCAAATGAGTTTCCGTCCATCCGCGTATGAACCATACAATGTGTCGCTCACCTGGTGATCATATGTCCTACACTAACTCAGGGAATACCCACACCACACCCAATCAGTGAGGTTCACATCACACTCAGCTCACTCACATAGCAACTGCATCTCACTAAGGCGTTGACGTTGACCAGAAATGCATAGGTCTGCCGATTCCCACTTGGATCTGAACAAAAAAGTCTGCAGCACCACCCCACATGTTGGTCTGTCCAAATGAGTAGCGTAGTGCTCAGTAGTAAGGGTGGTGTAGACTCTGAGCGGTTCATCTCTTAACGGAAATCTTCAGTTGAGCATTCGCGAAAGATCAGCGGTTGAGCTGGCGTGACGTGTCCTCAGGTACGGACCGAGCCTCGAGGTATGGTCCGAGACAAGCTCCAAACGAAAGGGTGTCAGACCTGATGAAGCAATCAGACTCCGTTACAAAATCGGACGGCGAAAAAAGGCCCACCAAACTGCACATCTGGCTGGAAATTTGAAATCCCAGGGGTGAGGGGTGGACGTTGCCACGTCATGAAATCCCTCATGCTCTGATTCATCATTCACCCCTAGTCTGAAATCCTGGTTCTCAAAGCAGAGTGATCACGGTAACCATGAGCCAATCACAGCAGAGTTACAGCAAGTCCTCAGCCTAGACGCTGAGGTCTACACTGAGGTCTAGGCTGAGGTCTAGGCTGAGGTCTAAGCTGAGTGAGCTGAAACCCCTCGGGTGGGTGAGTTAGAGAGAAGGGGGTCGGAACCCCCAGAGTTATTGAATCTAAGAGAAGGGGGTTGGAACCCCTTGGGTGGGTGATTGAGAGGGTAGAAGTCTTGAGGCCCTTGAATGAGTGTTTGGAAGAGATGGGGGCTGAAACCCTTAGGGCAGGTGAGTGGAAGTGAAAGGGACTGATTTTTTTGCATGGGTAAGTGAGAGGGAAGGGATCTGAAGCCCCTTGGGGCGGTGAGTTCGTGCAGGGGCAGATGTGAAGGGGCAGAGAGGAAAGTGAAGGGGCAGAGAGGAAAGTGAAGGGGCAGAGAGGGATGTGAAGGGGCAGAGAGGGATGTGAAAGGGCAGAGAGGGGTGTGAAGGGGCAGAGAAGGAGCAGAGAAGGATGTGAAGGGGCAGAGAAGGATGTGTTAGGGCAGAGAGGGATGTGAAGGGGTAGAGAGGGATGTGAAGGGGCAGAGAGGGATGTGAACGGGCAGAGAGGGATGTGTAGGGGTCGAGAGGGATGTGAAGAGGCATCCTGCACCACAAAAGGCACGTGAGTGTTCCCACCTCGCCATGCTGCCATCTCCCCGTGCTGCCATCTCCCCGTGCTGCCATCTCGCCATGCTGCCATCTCGCCATGCTGCCATCTCGCCATGCTGCCATCTCGCCATGCTGCCATCTCGCCATGCTGCCATCTCGCCATGCTACCATCTCGCCATGCTGCTATCCCCACCTGCAGGGGATGGAGCTTGTTACCTTGTTGTCCCCATCTTGCTGTTATGAGGGACCTGCACTCAGGGTTGGCTGGCTGTACCTGCTGCTCGATGGTCAAAGTGTGAGATGAGATGGGAAACTGTAGTAGTCTGAAGGACTTGGGAGTGTCTACCTGGATGTTTCTTTCTTTAGCACTATTGACCCAGACACTTGTCTGGCCTATTTATTGCATGAACAGCCTGTTTGGACAGTCACCTGGCATGTCCGAGCAATCTCATGGTGCATGTCCATGTCCAGGCTGTTGTTTCTCACATCCTGTTGTGCCACCTCCCCAGTCAGTTTCTCTGGCATCGTCTCCTCAAAGATGAGTGGGGGAGTGGGGAGTAGGGGACGGGAGTATGGTGGTGGAGTGAGTGGGGGAGGGCGTGGGGAGGGGGGAGGTGGGGGATGTTGTGCATGGAGGGAGGGAGGGGAAGGAGGGGGAGGGGGTGGGGAGGGATGGGGAGGGGCAGCGGGTGGGGAGGGAGGGGGAGGGGCAGCGGGTGGGGAGGGAGGGTGGACGGGGTCAAGGATGTCTCCTGATGAGGCGGGGGGAGAGGGGGGAGGGGGTGGGGGTGCAGGGGGGGCAATGGTGGGGGGGGGGAGAAGGGAAGGGGAGGGGAGAGGGGGTGGGGGGGGAATGGTGTCAGTCCAGAGGAGGGGACGGGTGGTTAGAGGGAGGGGGTTAGGGACTTTGGGGGAGGTGTACCATTTATGTGACTGTAGGTGGATGCTGTATGAGCATGTGTCAGTTGATGGGAGGTGCTGTACGTATGAGCATGTGCCAGTCGGGGTGATGCTGTATGTACGAGCATGTGTCAGTTGGGGTGATACCGTATGAGCATCCGTGTCTGCTGTTTTCGTGGTTGGGCTGGGAAGTACAGTTTCTTGGTCGCACATGACCTGCTTCTCTGGTCAGGGGTGGTGGCTGTCTCCCATATTGGTCTCTTTGGCGTGTCTGTCTTCTTGATATGGAACTGCTCTATGTTTGACTGACATGCCTGCTCTATTTCTTGGTGATTCTTTTGATCTGGCCTCGATGGGTGGGTGCACCTTACCATACCTTACCATACCTCGTCATACTTTAGCATACCTCGCCATAGTGCCTCATCATCCCTACAATACCTTTACCTTACATCACCTTGCACCATTATCATGCAGTTGCAAGCAATTTAGGTGCGAACCATGCCCCACTACCACTGCTACAATGATTTTACTGCCGCTTTGCATACATCACTGCTGCTGCCACGCCTGCTGTTGCTGTTGCAGCTGGTTTCTGTTGACCTGCGAAGTGGAGAAGTCGGTGCAGAGAGGATCAATGGGAGGACGAACGCCACCGGGCGGGAATAAAATAGAAGAGGATAAGAGTTCTCTAGCTGGAAAGAATATGAGGGGCAAGAGATGCAGTATGAGAAACATGCGGAAACGAGCGGAGAGAAAGAAGCAGGAGCACGACTCAGAGGAGCAGAGACTGCTATGGGGAAGCAGGGGGCACTGCACTTGTGCAACTGGTGAGTTTAGGGGGGAATAGCCTGGAAACAAGTGAGCTGAAAGGCACAAGTGCGGTTTGAAGGCAGGAGGGCAGGGGCTCAGTAGAAAACATAGAATGGCAAGCATGGGTGGGTGGGTGCAGCGAGGGCGATATTACTCACCAGCAATCCTTTCATCCTCCCCTCCGTCCTTCCCTGCTTCCCCGTTTCCTCCTTCCCTCCTCTGCTCCTTCCCTTATTTCCTCCCTCCTTCCTTCCTCTCCTCCTCCCTTCCTGCCTGCACGTTGATGGTGTTGCTACAACCATGCCTGTTGGACGATTGGGGGGAGTAGGGGAGTAAAGCAGATTCAAGGGGAATACGTTGGGAAGGACACGGATTTAGAGCTCAAGAAAGCAAAAAGAATGGCAGAGACAAAACATTCAAGGGCAAATACGGTATGACTGAAACATTGGAGGATAGGAATAGAAGCGGCAATGCAGCTGAAACCCCACATGTTCTCCCTTGTAACCACGGAGGATAGAAAATGGACGTTTTCAAGGGAAAGAGATGGGGAAGGGACGAAAATTACCTGCTGCAACCCGTACCCCGCATGCTCCCCCTTGCACTGCCAGTTGTTGCTTCTGCTGCCATCGCTGCTTCAGTCCGGCTGCAGAGACTGCAGAGGGGCAGGGTGCAGGGAAGAAGGTTGTAGAAAGGCAAAAAGGGGGTTGGGAGCAGCAAGGGAAAAAGGGCAAAAAGGGGGTTGGGGAGGAGGGAGGGGAGAAAACACTACAGCAAGCAAAAAGGTAGGGGAAGAACAACAGCAGGGAAAGCCAAGCCAGAGAAGCGACAGAGGTGAAGGGGGCTCACCACTTGAGGACATACCCTCCTTGTGCATGCACACGCCTTGTGATGGTTGTGCTGTGCTGCACCGCTCCTCCCACGGCCACCTCTTACTCTCCTCTGCATCGCTCCCCTCACCCAGGCGCCGGCTTGGATTGGGGATAGTGGAATGTGGAAGGGGAATGCAGGTCACTGCAGCAAGCAGAGGATACTCACCAAGAATTGAACAGGCCAAGTGAGATATCCAGGGCACAAGGGAAGGGGTCATGAATTGTACAGTGTGAAAATGAAGTGAAATAACTCCAGATAAAGCCCAAATCAAACCTGTGGGGGTCCTTGAAGGGGCACCTGAGAGCATACCTGAACTGTTACCTGAGGGAGCACCTGAAGGAGCACCTGAGGGGTACCTAATAGGGTAACTGAGGGGGCGTATGAGGGCGTACCTTTGAAGACGGTTTGAGCCTTGTGCTCCGGTTTGCTTCCAGTGGCTAGGACTTCCGAAAGAACAAAAGGACAGGTGCATCAGCCATTCACTTCCACTGGCCGGATCTTGTTTGCATGCATGCAAGTGTGCGTGTGTGGCCAGGTACGACTGGGGACACACAAGAGCATGCATGCATTGAAGGGGATAGGACACGCTCACCCATGCGAGGGTCTGCCTGTACTGCCCCCTGCCCTCAATGTGCCAGTGACCACCAAGCCACGCCAGTGCGTCCCTGGGACGCAGCACCCCCGGAAGCAACACTTTCAGTCCCTGGGACGCCCATTCCACACCTCTCAACCCACCAGGCACCCACCCACACCGCACCAGAGCAGTCACCACAGGAACAAGCACAGAGGAGAGTGCATCAGAAGCAGCAGAAGAAATGGACCCGAAAGAAAACAAACACGATTCTAAGACTTGAACGCGGCGACCTAGACTGCTCTGCCCCCCCATTAGACCTGCCAACTACTTGCCTTGTTGAGCCAGTGCCTGAGACAGCTTAGTAGGCAGACCCGCCCGCACTCCTCATTCGCACGGCTCCCTCTGAATGCCAGTGAGCACCCAGGCCACGCCACTGCGTCCCTCCAATGCACCACCGCACCAGAGCACACACCGCAGGAACAAGCACACACCGCGGTGTGCCCAGTTAGCTTAGGAGGACTGTAAGATGCTGGGCTGCAGAAGCAACACTATCATTGACACCAGCAGCAGTCGAAGTGATGATCTGCAACTTTGTTACCGTTTTTCTGGATGCCTCCTTTGTTGGTGGACATGGTTGGGTGGGTCTCTTTTTGGTCATATGTGTGTGTCCGTCTCCCTGCTTGGGTATATCTGCCGGCATCTAGCTAGGCATGCTTGCTTCCTTTGTTGGGTGATTCTTTTGTCCTGGTTGAGGTGGGTGTACCTTACCGTACCATACCTTACCATGCCTCAGCATCTTTATACCTCACATGACCGGTACTACCATACCAGGCCTCACTATCCCTTCACAGTTCACCTACCACCACTCTCATGGACAAGAAGTTAATTAGGAACATACGCCTCTACTGCCGCGGCTACTAAGCCGACCCTCTAAACATCACCACTACTGTTACTCCTGCTGCTGTTCCTGCTGCCTTCCATTGGCCTGTGAAGGACAGAAGGCGATGAGAGAGGGGACGTTAGTGTTGAGGGCGAATGCCAAAGAGAAACACCGAAAAATGTGAGGGATTTTGAAAAAATATGGGAGGAATATTCTAGCTGACTCTAGCTGGAAAATCTACGAGGAACATGCGATATACTCGAGAACGATGTGGAAACAAGGTGAAAGTAAGGAGCAGGAACATGACATAAACGAGTAGAGAGGAGCATGGCAGGCGGGAAGGCTTATAAAGAGACAGTTGACAGCACAACATGGCAAGCATGGGTAGAGAGAGGGGGATTACACTCACCCTGTTCGCTTCCAGATAATCCCTCCCTCCTTCCCTCATTCCTTCACTCCTCCCCTCCTGCCTCCCTGTCCTCTAGTGCTGTTCCATGCACATTGATGGTGTTGCTACAACCATGCCTGTTGCGTGATGGGGGGTAGAAGGGGAGAAACGGGGAGCTAAGGGGGAGTATGCTGGGAGCGGTTGAAATGGTTGAAATGACTGGAAAATCGACGAATAGAATCGAACTTACCAGTGCCTGAGACGGCTCAGAAGGCAGACCCCCACCCCTCACTCGCACGGCCCCTTACTGGGACGCACGTCCCTCTGAGTGCCAGTGAGCACCCAGGCCACGCACCACCGCTGGGAGCAACCCTTTCTATCCCTGTGACGCCCATTCCACACCTCTCAACCTACCAGGCACCCGCACCGCACCAGAGCACACAGAACAGGAACAAGCACACAGGAGAGTGCGTCAGAAGCAGCAGCAGAAACGGACTTGGATGAAACAGCGATTCCAAGACTTGCCGCGCGGCGACCTAGGCTCCGTTTCCCCCCCAAACCACCGGGTAACCACTTACCATGCTGCCGTGGTGAGCCTGTGTCTGAGACGACTCAGAAGGTGGAATATTATCCGCACTCCTCACTCGCGTCCCTGAGCTCGCACTGGGAGACCCCCAAAGCAGAGCAACCAGTACAACGGAGCACAAGCACGCAGAGGAGAGTTCGTCAGAGGCAACAACGAAAACAGACTCAGAAGGAACAAGAGTTGATTCTAAAACTTGCCGCACTGCGACCTAGACTGCCTTACCCCTCCGATAGACCCGCCCAGTCACTCACCGGGTTGAGCCGAATCTCGTGATGCCCCTCAGAAGGCGGATCCTCACTCCTCACTCGCAGAGCACCTTCCTGAGACACACTGTCAGCACGTGCCTGAGTCTCAGTCAGGGAGACATCTCAACACAGAGCATCAAATACAGCACAGAGACAAGCACAGAAGAAAGTGCGTCAGCAGCAGCAGCGGAAACTGACTCGAAAGGAACAAAACTCGATTCTAAGACTTGCCGCACAGCGACCTAGACTCCTTTACCCCTCCCGATGAATTCGGCTAACGACTTACCATACTGCACAGTGACACAGCGAACCAGTGTGCTGCCTTGTAGCACCTGCATTCCCACTCCTGATCCCTCCCCTGCCTCCACCGATCGATCGAGTCCATGTGTCAGAGCCGAGCCGAGCCGAGCCGAGCAGAGCAGAGCAGAGCAGAGCAGAGCAGAGCAGAACAGAGCAGAGCAGAGTCCTGTAGTCAAGGAGGCACCGGAACCAGAGCAGAGAACTCAGCCTTTGAGTCGACTCAAAAGCAGACCCATCGATCCCGTAGTCAAGTCGTGCGTCTCAGTCAAGGAGGCATCGGACCCCGAGCAGAGAACTCAGCCTTTGAGTCGACTCAAAAGCAGACCCATCGATCCCGTAGTCAAGTCGTGCGTCTCAGTCAAGGAGGCATCGGACCCCGAGCAGAGAACTCAGCCTTTGAGTCGACTCAAAAGCAGACCCATCGATCCCGTAGTCAAGTCGTGCGTCTCAGTCAAGGAGGCATCGGACCCCGAGCAGAGAACTCAGCCGAAGCAGAAGAACACGCACACAGGCAAAGCACACAAGAACAAGCACAGAGGAGAGCGCGTGAGAATCAGCAGCGGAAACGGACTGAGAAGATATAAACTTCAGGTCTAAGACTTGCCGCACGGCGACCTAGACTGCTCTGCTCCCCCCCGATATATCTGCCCAACGGCTTACCATACTGCAGACTGCAATGGTGAGGCAGTCTCTGAGACGCTCGAAAGGTGGATATCACTAGCAGAGCCCCTCCCTGGGACTGTTGACGCATGCATGGGCCTCAGGGAAGCAGGCACCGGAACCAGAGAATCACACAGGAGGAAGCACAGAGGAGAGTGCATCAGGAGCAGCAGAGCAAGTGGACTCTCGGATAAAGCAAAGCCCGACTCTATGACTTGCCGCACGGCGACCTAGACTGCTCTACCCCCCCTGCTCTACCGCCCAACAACTTACCATACTGCGATGGTGAGCCGGTTTCTGCGGCGGCTCAGAAGGCGGGTCCTCAGCCGCAGAGCCCCTCCCTGGGACGCACCACCCTTTGGCAGGCGGGACTGTTGACGCGTGGATGGGCCTCAGTCAAGGAGGGACCGGAACCAGAGCAGCACACCCAACACAGGAGGCACAGAGGAGAGAGCGTCAGAAGCAGCAGAGAAAGCCGACTCAGAAGAAGCAAAGCCCGACTCTAAGACTTGCCGCACGGCGAACTAGACTGCTCTGTCCCCACATATATCCGGCCAACGACTTACCGTTCTGCAGTGGTGAGGCAGCTTCTGAGACGGATAATCTCTCGCAGAGCCCCTCCCAAGACGAACCAACCTTGCCAGGACTGTTGAGGTGTGCATGGGCCTCAGTGGAGGAGGCACACACAACACAGGAGCAAGCACAGAGGAGAGAGTGTGAGAAGCAGCAAAGCAAGCGGACTCAGAAGAAGCAAAGGCCGATTCTATGACTTGCCGTGCGGCGACTTAGAATGTTCTGCCCCCCGTGATACATCCGCCCAGCGACTTACCATGCTGCCGAGGTGAGGCAGTGTCTGAGCCAGTGGCTCAAGAGGCGGATCCCCCTCTCTGGGATGAACCACCCTGCGGCAGATTCTGAGACGCCTCAGCAGTCGGGTCGTCACTGGTAGGGCACGCGACGCACGGCCACACCTTGGCAGGCAGGACTGCTGTCTCGCCCAAGGGGAAGATTCCGAGAAGCCCCAGCTGGCGGATGGTTGCTGCCAGAGCACCTCCCTGGCACGCCTTGGCAGGGCTGTCGAGGCGTGCATGGGCCTCTTAGTCAAGGAGGCACCGGAATCACAGCAGCGCACACAGCGCAGAAGGAAGCACAGAGGAGAAGCGTCAGAAGCAGCAGAGAAAACGGACTCTGAGAAAGCTAGACCCAGTTCTAAGACTTGCCGCACGGCGACCTAGACTGCTATACCCCCCCAGTAAATCAGCCCGAATCACTTGCCATACTGCCGCGGTGAGCCAGTGCCTGAGACGGCTCGGACGGCGGACCCCCACTCCTCATTCGTGCTGCACCTTCCTGGGACGCACACGCACACACACTGCCAGCAGGTCCCTGGGTCTCAGTCAGGGAGAGCCCCGATCCAGAGCAGCGAATGCAACACAGCAACAAGCACAGAGAGGATTTCGTCAGAAGCAGGAGAGAAATGGACTAAAAAAAAAAAAGATCGATTCTATGACTTGGCGCGCGGCGACCTAGACTGCTGCACCCCCCCCGGGATAAATCCGCCCAATTACTTACTGTTCTGTAGTGGTGAGGCAGTTCTCGAGACGGCTAGAAAGGCGGATCCTCCCTAGCAAAGCCCCTACCAGGGAGGCACCACCCTTTGGCAGGCAGGAGTGTTGACGTGTGGATGGGCCTCAGGGAAGCAGGCACCGGAACCAGCACACACACCACACAGGCACACGCACAGGGGAGCGAGCGTCAGAAGCAGCATAGAAAGTGGACTCGGGATAAGCAAACTGGATTCTATGACTTGCCGCACGGCGACCTAGACTGCTTTACCCCACTAAATTCATCCGCCCAACAGCTTACCATACTGCGATGGTGAGCCGGATCCTGAGAGAGGTCAGAAGGCGCGTCAGCAGGCGGATTGGGCCACGCCAAGCACCTTCCTGCCTTCACGCCATGCGGTGTGCATGGGCCTCAGTCAAGGAGGCACCCCAACCACAGCAGCGAACACAGCAAAGGAACAAGCACAGAGGAGTCAGAAGCAGCAGAAGAAACGGACTTGAAAGAAACAAAAAAAAGGTTCTTAGACTTGCCGCGCAGCGACCTAGACTGTTCGACCCCCCAAGCAGATTCGTTCAAGAGCTTACCATGATGCACAATGACACAGCCGATACCACCCACTGTTCGCTCAATCCGCGTTCTCCGAACAATCCGCGTTATTTCCGCGCAATTCGCGTTTCCTCCGCTAAT